CATATCGGATATCGGCCAAAATCCCAATATCGTGCATCCCTAATTCAAAAGGATTTTTTCCTCTCCACTGTCGCTGTATGCTTGCTTGGTGTGAGAAATTGCTGAACAGTCAATGACATATGCAAAGGAAAATTGCAAGTGACCGTCTACTGTCTGTACATGCTCATCCAGATCAACCAAATGCCGCAAAGGGAATGAGATGATGACATCCGTGTCAGGTTGAGTTGAGGTTTTAAGGACCCAAATGCAGCGCTGAAGAGGCAGAGGTGAGTTTTTGTACATTTGATTAAATTACTCAGAGGCAACTGAGGCAGGAATCCATAAATCCAACATAAAAGTACAGAACAAACCAGAACCATGGAGATATCTGGTAAAACCACAAGGAGTCAGGGAAAGACGAATAACCAGCACTGAGGAACTGCACAGGGAGAGTATATATGGAAGACCGAACAAAGACAGGACTAATGTGTCATGATCTGGCCTGATTCCTCCACCTTAATTGTTTATTTCATTCACCTGCCGTTTCCCTCCCTGCTGTAATTATCATTCATTTCTTTCCAGTTTCCTTTTCCTTATATTCGCTTCAGCCCGAGCGATCAGGGCCAGATCATTATTTGTTTCCTGTTAGTCTGTCTGTTCAATGTTTTCAGTTAACTCCACGGTTCATGTCCTGGATCCTGGCGGTCAGTGTGTCTCGTCTCCTGCTCGTCCGCTGTTCCTCCCCTGCGGTGTCCTCAGGGTTTTGCCTCGGAACGCGGGTAGGATCAGTTTTTATTCCTGTAAGCCTGGGTCCAAGGAGCAGACCAGTTTAAAGTTTCCAGCATCAAGTTCTGGTTCATCATCCTGTCTCTGCTACCCTCAGTCTGTGTGTGCGTGTCCGCCTGGTCACGCTTGTAGACTGCATCTGCTTCAGGCCTGTGAGCTCTGAGTATTCCTGGAAGCCCGGGTCACTCTGTTCCTGTTTGGATTGGAATCTCAGAGCGTACGGAGGTCATCGAGGTTTCATGAACTGTCCCTGCCTGCTCTGATCAGCTTGCTGCAAGACCTCCGGGGCTGCAGCAACGGGGACACTCTGGGTGACGCGCGCCCCGTCAGGTGTCAGCCTGCCGGCTGGATCGCACCCCTTTCTAGGGAGATGGACTGAACTGTGAAACCAGGTAAGTGACTCACTGAGATGATCATCTTCTGTCAGATGATCGGGGTCACTTACCTGTTTTTCTCCCACAACCAGAGAATCTGAGATTGTCCTGCAGCCGCTGCGGGCCGCAGATCCACAGCAGCGTGCTTCTGTGTTCTTTTATTTGTGTTAATAAACGTTCTGAACGTTCCTATTGGCTGTCTCACCGTGAATACTGGGTCCATCTGTCCCGTTTATGATACAATGAGCTGATAGGGAGCAGATTGTGAGCAGAGGATTCTAGAAGGAAGCTAGGGAAAAGGAGACCAACGCAAGAGGGCAGGAGAGGGTAACCAAGAAAAACCTAAGAAAACCTCAAATAAATCCAGAAAACACAACAAAATAGGAATTAAACCAATAAAAGCTAGAAAACACGGATCAAAGTAAAACTGAATAATCAAAAGAAACAGAACCAAGATGGTGACAATCAGCTAGATAATGTTTAATCAATCTGTCTGCATGTTTTGATAGAATTATACTTAAGATTTCACAAAGGCCTCAAAAACTGAAAGATATTGGCCTAAACTGACGGAAGAAGGCGGAGCCAGAGATGCAGCAAGTCTAACTGTAGAAGGAGGATTGGATGAACTCATCCACTCTTTTAAACAAAATGCTGTAGAAACGCATCACACACGTATGGCAGAGTGACGAGCATTTCAAACAGCGCTTTAATACGGACCAAATCATGATGTGTGAATCCTTTAAGGCCACCTAGCTACAGGTACAGGCTGTACATCCTACACAGCTTTACCCAGATACACATCAACTCCTGAAAAGGATGTAACGATATCAAAACCTCACGGTACATTTCGATATTGACCTCACAGTATGATATTTATTGCGATATTGTGGAAAAGTTCATGCTTCTGTTAAATAGCTCACGATAGTGTTTGTGACGATAATAGCAAAAAAATACTGACATTTTTTCTACTTTAGCCAGTCAACAGGCATTTTATTGTTGTGTTTATGGATCATGACTACATAAAACGCTGATCACATCGTGCTTTTAAAGTGCAAGCTGTAGTCAGGAACATCAATATTCTGTTGATTCTTCTGTGCAATGTTCCCGTTAAGAAGCAACCAGAACAATTGTAAACAATAGGGAATTCCCTTTAAGTGCAAACAAATATCAAGTTAAGTCAGGTTTAAATGTGCAAGGCAAGT